AAAATGCAACCAGGAGGTGGTTTGGCCTGCTCAAATTACTTTTGAGATTGTTCCTCTGCTTTTGCCTACTTGAGGGCACACTTTAAAAAATATTGAAGTCATTTTATTGAAAAAGTAGCTCATGTTATTTTTGAAAGAGTTTGCTGTGAATTTCTAAGCCAGGTTCAGGATTAAACTATAGCCAAATGTTTATGATATAAAAACCAATTGAATGAGTTAAGCTCTGGCTAGAGGAAACCACATCTGCATCTTTCTGTTACCATGGTAAAGGACATTCTGAACATTACCACTTAAAACTAACTTTTCTCTTTAAGGGTTCCTGAAATTGTGCCAGCTGACTCCAGGTCCACCCTGACCCCACAGCATAAACCATGCTGTGATGTCACAGCTACCATAGAACTCCAGGGTAGTGTTGGGCTGGCCCATGTGGGCTCAGGTAAGTCCTGGCTTTTTTTTTTAACCATTTGGCATTCTTTTCAAAGTTAGTAACCATTACAATTTTATGTCATAAAGGAAAATAAGGCAAAACTTTGAAAACTGTGCCATATATGGGGGAAAAAATAAGTCTGTTTTCTAAACATCTATGAGCCAGCTCTAAATTCTAACCAGTGGAGTTCCATAGTAGCTGTGAAGTCCCCAGTGAGTTGTTGACCTGTGGCTTCAAAATATATAAACTCTACTCCTGGCCCAGATTACAGAATAATACGTTTGTTTTTTATTTTTATTTTTTTAGCTGTTTAGTAATATTTAATAAAGTAGCCTTCATTTATTTTTAGGCCTTCGTATTTTAAGAAGCATATTAACACTTTCCTTTATTTTTAATTATGTTTCGCTATTAGGCTAATTGTGCGTTTTATTCAATTTTGAATGTATGATGATACTGCAGATTAGTTTTATAAAGTTAATCTCAGAGTGGCTTTAGCTGTCCTTTTATTTGCCTTCATAACATGAAGAAGGAAGGGACAGAAGGCGTAATACACGTTTGTTAAATTTTAAAAAAAAAAGTATTAAGAGAAAGATGCTTCGGCTGGGTGCTGTGGCTCATGCCTGTAATCCTAGCACTTTGGGAGGCCGAGGTAGGTGGATCACCTGAGGTCAGGAGTTCGAGATCAGCCTGACCAATATAGTGAAACCCCCTGTCTTTACTAAAAATACAAAAATTAGCTGGATGTGGTGGCGTGCGCCTGTAGTTACAAGTTAGGAGGCTGGGACAGAAGACTTGCTTGAACCTGGGAAGTGGAGGTTGCAGTGAGCCGAGATCACGCCACTGCACTCCAGCCTGGGTAACAGAGCGAGACTCCATCAAAAAAAAAAAAAAGCTTCAATTATTTTTGGAGGCATTGTGAGATGTAAGTAATATGTTATCTTCTCTTGGAACTTTTAATTTTTTTTCCTGGCCTTTGTCCTATAAAGTGAGGTTTTTAACACTTGCATTTATTTATTGTCTCTTCCTGTCTACCAACTCTTCTACCTTATTTCTACTTTCTTTTTATCCCCTGACATTAACAGGTGCCCAAAATATAATTATATGAAGAACTCAGATATTTCATAATTGTAAGTTTTTGTTTTTGTTTTTTTTGCATGTATTATGATGGTTTTTCCCTGCTCCCTAAGTAGAAAATATGTGGTGGCTAAAACTGTAAATTCTATGTATGGGCCAAATTCTATTAAACAGCATGTCTATAGCAAAAGTGTTTCTGCTGTATGAAGTAACCGTCTATGAAGTAACTGTCTAAACTGCCTGAAGTTCTCTTTGAGCAGTGTGCAATAAAGACAGCAAAAATGGGGGCAGTTCAGCGATATTTTCGTGAAGTTTGATTTGTAATAAATTCACTAATCTTTGTAGCTGAAAATTTACTGGTCACTGAGACTGTAAGCTTGTAATTATGCTTAATGAAAAGAATGAAATTACATATTTCCAAACAGTAGATAATAAAATTTGTTTTAAATATTATTTTTTACCTATACTTAAGTGATGTATGTTTTTCATGCTCTGGGAAATTGGGAGGATTTTGTGTTGTCAAGAACTGACAATAGTCTATTCCAATCTTCTGTACATCCTCCATGTTGGGGAATGGGCAGGAAGCCCATTTGCAGTTTAATATAGAGCACGGAGTTGTAGGGAGTAATTAAGTGTTTTTGTTAATGTTGTATTATGTCAAATAGAAATCCTAGTTGTGTTTGCGTGTATCAGCTTTATTGATATATAATTCACATACCATGCAAGTCAACATTTAAAGTTCTGGATATATTTTTTAAAAGCACTTAATAAAAGCAGAATGGGTGATACTATTGTACATTATAGTTCCAAAGTACATTTTGCTAATTTTGTTGTGCTATTTAGTCTGCACCACTGCCCCCCCCACCGCCCTGTGCTCATTAACTTCTAATTATAGAAATCTCTCAGAGACATTAGTGAGGAAATCTTAAGAATTTCTAAAATGAGATTATTTCTAGATTTCAGCTCTATGGTGAGTTAGGTAAAAATAATAAAGTGGTTTGAAGACCTCCCCTACTTCAAGCCAAAGAAGGAAGTTATTTGATGCTTAGCTTTAGATTACCTTTTCTTAGTCTTTGGGAAATAAAAGATAAACATGAACTTACATAAACACCTACATAAATGCATACATACACACACACACACACACACACACACACACACACACACACACAGACAAATTGTACAGATCTTCCTCTTTGCTTTTTCAGGTAAATTGATCAGACTCTTTGGTTGTTTTTTTGGAAGTGATTGGAACATTTTTTATGTAATACAAAACGTTTTATAAGTAGGTGTATTTTTAGGTTAAAACTGAGGACTATAAAAGGTGCATTGCTTGCTACATATACCTGAAAATAGTTAAGGGCTTTGATAGGACTGAAGGGAAAAGTCATTGCCTTCATACGGAAATGCTGTAAAGTAAAAGGAGATGGCATGGGTATGCTGTCTTAAATAAACTGCACTGAATTATCTGAAAAGTTATGGGCCCTATCAGATTATACTTAATTGTTCATTAAATAAGTTAAGCAGAAGTTTTAGAGTTTTTTTTGTATTTGAACATAGTAATTGGAAATAGAAAACTCTTCAACCATAGATTTGTTTTTAGTTCAAGTAGCACATTCTGGTCTATTTTAAAGGCTTGCCCTTTTGGAAAGATTTATAGCCCTTATCTCATGCCATCCTTGATTAAGCTTTAGCCCTGACTTCTCTAGGGCACTATTCCTTAGAAGGATAAGATGGATGGAGACAGGGCATTTGTAGCTGAACTTGTATATACATAGTGAGGAATATATCATCAACCTTTGAAGATAAGAATTCCTATAAGAAGGCATTCTTAATATCATGGGTTTTCAGCCTGAAGAATGTATATGTCTGTGTTGGGGGCAGGGGGTCATTTTTTGGAGGAGAGGTTCTAAATTTGCAGAAAGGACATATGACCATAAGGTTTGAAAACTTTTGAAGCTGGCCTTTTATGGCTCACAAATGTAATTTAAAAAGGACTGTTTTGAATATTGGAGTCACGTTTTCACTGTCTTTGTATTTCTCATATTGCCTGTTTTGGTGTTCTGTATATCATGAGGATTCAGTAAATGTAGGAATTACTTTGAAGCCTTGTTATCTTTACTAATGGTAGGAAATTGTTGCATTTTACCAATCTGTTTTATTTTAAGAAATGTCTTACCTAAATCCTAATTCAAGATGGCAATTAAAATAATAGACTAAGAATATTTTTACCTAGTAGTATTATTCTGCCCAGCAAACACATTTGTCTTGATGTAACTTAGGAAACACTTAAAAGTATTTGGTCCCACAAATAATTTTTTAAAAATTGTTTTAAACACAATTTGTGGTAAACTGGAAACTAATCTACACTTTTTCCCCCCCAAGACTGATTAATACCTGTACTTTCCAGACTGCTTAGTAGATAGTATTACTATCTTTACCTAACATTAATTTGTGTTGAGATTAATAGAATGGTTCAGTGGTGGCCAGGCGCGGTGGCTCAAGCCTGTAATCCCAGCACTTTGGGAGGCCGAGACGGGTGGATCATGAGGTCAAGAGATCGAGACCATCCTGGTCAACATGGTGAAACCCCGTCTCTACTAAAAATACAAAAAATTAGCTGGGCATGGTGGCGCGTGCCTGTAATCCCAGCTACTCAGGAGGCTGCGGCAGGAGAATTGCCTGAACCCAGGAGGCAGAGGTTGCGGTGAGCCGAGATCGCGCCATTGCATTCCAGCCTGGGTAACAAGAGTGAAACTCAGTCTCAAAAAAAAAAAAAGAATGGTTCAGTGGTAATGGAATGTTCGTTACAGATTTGGGTAGAAGTGATAATTGTGTTTTCCTCCTATTATAACTGAATTGTAATGTTTTATTTTAGCATATTTTCTTTGAAATCATCTAGTTCAATTTTTACTTTATTAATAATTCTTAATGGGTTTAAGGAAGACTTGGCTTTAAGAGAGTCTGAAATCAAAATGTTGCCAATGTTTACTTACAGCGAAGATGGTTTCAGTTGCTCTGAGTTGTTCCAAAGCTAAAGAGCAGTGTGGAAGCCTCAACATTTGTTTTAAGAATGCAGTGTTAAGGGGAAGGAGGAGCTCAACACCAGCCAGAAGCATATCCCTGTCTCCTTGGTTTCTGTGGAGTCAGAATGAATGCAGGACCAGAACCAGGGGCTCAGTGTCTCTTGTGATGTATGGTTTCTTGTACTAGATTATCGATCTTTAATCCAGTTCATACAGCCTAACAGTTCCTCTAAATCCCACCAGAGCGTGGAGCCTGCACTGATGGTAAGTGTCTAGGCAGTTCTAGTTCTGGAAGGAAAATTTTTAAAGGGAATGGAAAAAACTAATATTCCTTATTCTTTAGGACATTTAAGTGCTGCGTCAGGATCCGGGAGGCACAGAAACACTTAAAGAGTTTGGAGTGATTGCTTCAGGTTTGTGCTCTTTGAAGAAAATTATAATTAAATGTTTTTCTGTCTTGCTGCTTGTTTCAGGGGTTGTAGAAGGTGATTTAGCTGCCATAGAAGCATACAAGTCATCAGGAGGAGACATTGCACGCCAGCTCACCGCAGATGAAGTACGCTTGCTGAACCGTCCTTCGGCCTTTGACGTTGGCTATACTCTTGTACACTTGGCTATACGTTTTCAGAGGCAGGATATGCTAGCAATATTGCTTACAGAGGTGAGTGTGGTATTTTGGTTAAATGTTCTTTTATAGTAAGGAAATCTGTTCTTTATATTTCATTTTTGATTTTATAATGTTTCTTCAAGCAGTTTTAAAATGTTTTGAATTCTTTTACCCCCTTTAAAAAATAACATTAAACTTAAGAGACTTCAACAGTGTATAATTTTAAGGGTATATACTTCCAAATATTTAAATAGTCACAGCAATGTTTTGACTTACATATTTGGTTCAAACAAGCCTGGGATGTATCTGTCATTCATTCGTCAGTCATTCAGTTAACAAATATTTCTTGAGTACTTACTATGTGCCATGCACTGGGCTGAGAGGGATAGAATTGTAAAGACATTGGCTCTTCCTTCGTCGAATCTCCAGAAAAGTAGAGAAATGAACAGGTAACTGTGTGCAGCATGTGCCCTGGTAGTTGTAAATGCCAAGTGCTATGGCAGTACACAAAGAGTTTTGAAAGGTGTCTTGTCTTCTTTCTTTTTCTTTTCTTTTTTTTTTTTTTTTTTTTTGAGATGGAGTTTCGCTCTTGTTACCCAGGCTGGAGTGCAATGGCGCGATCTCGGCTCTCCGCAACCTCCGCCTCCCGGGTTCAGGCAATTCTCCTGCCTCAGCCTCCTGAGTAGCTGGGATTACAGGCACGTGCCACCATGCCCAGCTAATTTTTTGTATTTTTAGTAGAGACGGGGTTTCACCATGTTGACCAGGATGGTCTCGATCTCTGGACCTTGTGATCCACCCGCCTCGGCCTCCCAAAGTGCTGGGATTACAGGCGTGAGCCACCGCGCCCGGCTTGTCTTCTTTCTTATAGCAGGTAATGTTTTTGCTACATTTTGAAGGGGAGGAGTTAGGAGTTAGTCACATGAAGTGGATGAGGGAAAGAAGGGAGGTTGAGGAAAGCATTTTTACAGGGGGCAGAGATGGTGGAATTTGTGGTGAATCCAGGGACTTGCAGGTAACTTAGCATGGCTAAGATGGTGATTGAGAGCAGAGAGAAGGTAAGTGTGAAAGATAAGCAGAGGCTAGATTATGATGGATCTTCTGTGTCAAGGAATTTGAAGAGTATTCCTAGGGCACTGAATGGTGTTATGTGCAGGTGTAGGGGAGTGAGCAGAGCAGATTGTGTTTTGGCTGCTGCACACTGGAGAGGGTTAGGAAGGGTTGCAGAGGTGCTGGCAAGAACTCTGCCAGTAGGGTAGTAGCCATAGAAATGGAAAGGCAGTTGGAGAGACTCAGACAGGCCCTCAGTCTGAAGAAGTAGATTGATTGGATATGGGAAGATACACTGTGGACCTAATGGTTTCTGGCTTAGATAACCAGGTACATACTACAAATGATAGATATTTCATATGAATTATTGGCGATGTGACTGTATTATCCAGGTAATTTTAAATTTTTATTTTTTAAGACGGAGTCTCGCTCTGTTGCCCAAGCTGTAGTGTAGTGGCGTGATCTTGGCTCACTGCCCCCACTGCCTCCTGGGTTCAAGTGATTCTCCTGTGTCGGCCTCCCAAGTAGTTGGGAGTATAGGTACACACCACCATGCCTGGCTAATTTTGTATTTTTTGAAAGATGGGGTTTCACCATGTTGGCCAGGCTGGTCTCAAACTCCTGACGGATGAACTGCCCGCCTCAGCTTCCCAAAGTGCAGGGATTACAGCCATGAACCACTGCGCCTGGCCTGGGTAATATTTTTTAATGACAAGAGAAATAGAGTAAAAATGCAGAGAGTCATATTAGTTGTAGATTCAAATTTTGTCAGTATACATCTTTTGTATATATGTTTGCATATTTGTTTATTCAAATATGCCATTATTTGGCAAATTCGAACCATTAGAGGGCAATTTATAGAGATTAACACATTTGAAGGTTAGATGGAAACATGATTGTAGTAGCTAACCATCATGTGCAGTTTGGTAAGATTCTATTGAAGCTGGGGTGGGGGGCTTGAGAGACTGAAGGCTATGATGAAAACAAAAGTGCAGGCTTGCTGAGTATAAGGGAGAAGGGCACTTTTCAGGTAAGGGGATCCAAGTTTTGGAACATGAGATGGAAGAGTTGGAGGGAGTTTTTCTAGTGTCGAAGGCCTGGCTGCAGAAGTGTTGTGGTGCCTAGTCGTGTTGTGTGTTGTATACTGGAAGGGCTGTCAGTGTGGAGTTGTACTTTGCTAGTGGTAACAGGAACCCAGGATAAAGAAGGTGGCTATGAACTAGGGTGAAAATCTTTAGGGGCTCCCCTCAGGTAGGTAGATTATTACAGGGTATTAGTGGGGCTGTCATGAGCCATTGAGCTCCTGAAAACAATCTGAGGACTAACAGTGGGATGATAATAGAACAGCAGTATATTTACTGCAGTATCACAGATTACCTGGAAACTTAGCGGCTGAGACAAGAAACGTATGTTAACTTACAGAATTTGTGAGGGTTAGCATCCAGGAACTGCTTAGCTGAATAGTTTTGGCTTTTAGTGTCATGAGGTTGCAGTCAAGTGGTCCAAGGCTGTAGTTGCCAAAAGACTCAACCGGGGCTCAGGGATCTGTTCGTAAGCCCACTCATGTGGCTTTTGGCAGGAGGCTTCAGTTCCTTGGCATTCAGACCTATCTACAGGGATGCTCATGATACGGCGTCTGGTTTCACCTCCAGCAGGTGATCCAAGAGAGGCACAGAGTGCAAGAGAGTGATCCAGTGTCTTTGATACCTGCAGTATCTTTTATAAATGGATTTAGGAAGCAACCTACCATTACTTTTGCTATATTTGGTGGGCGATGTAGAGCAACCCTGGAGAACAGTGTGGGAGAGGTGGAGAGGGTTTGTTCCAGGCAAAGAGAAAAATTGGTAATGGATTCAGTCTCCATGAAGTAAATTCTCCAAAGGTCAGAATTAAAGGGGCCAGTAGGGAGAATAGAAGTGGGGGAGTCTGGACTAAGTCTAGACTAAGGGGGTGTGTCAGAGAGAATGCTCAGCCAAGTTCTTTTACAGTGAGAACAGGAGAACATTAGAATTGGGGGATATGTATGTCCATGTCTGTGTCATGGACCCCGTTGGTAGTCTCGTGAAAGTTATGGACTCCTTCCCAAAATAATGTTTTTAAATACATAAAATAAGAAGTAAATAAGATTACACAGGAAATCAGTTGTATTGAAGTAATAGTTACCAAAATACTAAATTAAATTTGTGATATGTAAGAAAATACATTTTAATGTAGGCAGAAAGTTGGGGAAAATGGATTTAAATTGAATTAAAATGAAATTCCCGTTAAAGTTCACGGACCATTCCCAAGATCATGGACCCTAAATTAAGAACCCTCAGCCTACAGAGATGGTTGAGAACCATAAAGTTGAAAAGGTGAGGTGAGTGGCAGGCTTCATGGGCACATCTTGCTTAAAGATGGTGGTGGAAAGGGTTGTTTGGAGACTAGGTTTATTTTAGAATGTTTGTGGTATTCAGGGTCCAGTCCAGGTGGTTTTTCGAAAGGTCTTTCTAGGTTTTTGGAAAGGGCCTGAGGGCTAGCTGATTGGAATAGGCAATTTTTGAATTTACTTTGGGGATCCATTTTAACTGTGTTACTTGAGAAATAGTCAATTATAGTCTGAAAATACATAATTTGATTTTCTGTGTTTGAGCGTTGACTAATGGTTGGGCTCATGTAGTTTAAGATGTAGTGAGAATTTTAATGGTTAATGATAATTGTGGCCAATAAAGTCTAGTATAACTGAATTTTCATGTAGGAGTTTTTTAAAAATTTTTCTTTTGAAATGAAGTCTCATTCTGTCACCCAGGCTGGAGTGCAATGGTGTGATGTCGGCTCATTGCAACCTCTACTTCCCAGGTTTAAGTGATTCTCCTGCCTCAGCCTCCCGAATAGCTAGGACTATAGGCATGTGCTACCATACCCAGCTAATTTTTGTATTTTTTAGTAGAGATGGGGTTTTGCTATGTTGGCCAGGCTGGTCTTTTCTTTCTTTTCCTTTGAGACAAGGTTTCCCTCTGTTGCCCAGGGGTGTGATCACGGCTCACTGCAGTCTTGATCTCCCTGGCTCAAGTGATCCTCCCACCTCTCAGCCCCCCAGTAGCTGGGACTACCGTGTATGCCACCATGCCTAGCATATGTGCGTGTATGTATATAAATGTTTTTTTTTTTTTCTTTTTGGATAGAGGCAGAGTGTCATTATTTTGTCCAGGCTGGCCTTGAATTCCAGAACTCAAGTGATCCTCCTGCTTTGGCCTCACACAGTGCTGGGATTACAGGTGTGAGCCACTGGGCTAGGCTGGAGTTTTAAAATAGGGAGTCAGGTGACTGTGTTGGGTATTCAGAGTTTTTAAACAGTATTTCTTTTAATGGCAGTTGCAGTTGTCCACGTATATAATGTAGGTAACATTATCAGTAAACCTTACTCTTTGAGAAGAAGCAGCAGCAGCTGAAAGACCTGTTGCTCTTCAGACCCCACTTACCCTTGGGATGGTTGTCCAGGTTGGTGATGTCTGGGAACAGGCTCACTCTGGGTTTGCACCGTATTCTTTTTCTTTTTTTTGAGGCAGAGTCTCACTCTGTTGCCCAGGCTGGAGTGCTGTGGCACGATCTCGGCTCACTTCAACTTCTCCTCCTGGGTTCAAGCTATTCTCATGCCTCTGCCTCCCAAGTAGCTGAGACTACAGGTGTACTCCACCACTTCCAGCTAATTTTTGTAGTAGTATTTTTAGTAGAAATAAAGTTTCGTCATGTTGGCCAGGGTGGTCACGATCTGCTGAGTTGAGGCAATCCACTTGCCTCAGCCTCCCAGAGTTGGTGGGATTACAGGCATGAGCCACTGTGCTTGGCCTCGTTGTATTTTCACAGATGCTCAACTGTGATTTTAGAATTTTGTGTAAGTAGTTTTATTTAGCTTCACAAACTGGATATGACTGAAATATAAGGTTAAATTAAATCTTTGCAACATTTGTTGCTATTTAGCATTTTAAAAAGAAAAAAAAATAAAGGAAGAAAGTTCTAGTCTTCCTTGGTTTGTTGTTTCTTGCTTTAGAGGCCTGTGCAGTAGTGCTCCCATCTCACTCCTGTCAGGCCGAGCTTCAGATGTTGGCAGTCTGTGTTTAAACTTGAAGATGCCAAATGGTTTTTAAAAAACTCAGAGTGTTAACAAATGGAGAGGAAGAAAAGGCTTGAGGGCAGTGGGAAGTAACCCTTTAAATACCATGCTTTTTTTTTTTTAAGTCCAAACTGGGGTACTTGAAACTTGTAGGAGAAGAATGTTTGCAGTTTTCTTTCTCTGTGAGCTGTGATTCTCTGCTTCTAAAGATATTTTTATTGCGTACATGATGGTTAGTCTACTTAGGTTTTCTGTCCTCCCTCTTCCTGTGATATGTCTATGGACAACACCCTTTTCTATGAATTTTTATGTGCATCTTTTGAGTTATTTCCTTGCCATAAATTCTTAAATAGAAAGACTGAATCAGAAGTTAAAATATTTTTATGACTTTTTGAAAAGTTGTGCTGATACATACTTTCATTGATAAGGAAATAATACCCAGTGTATTTTAAGATTAAATAAAACCTTGAATTATTGGGGAATTTTGCTGATTTCTTTGAAATACTGTTATTTTCTGCTTCCATTTATAATACATGAGATGAGAGGAAAGTTTGTTTTGTATTTAAGGTATCTCAACAAGCAGCAAAGTGTATTCCAGCAATGGTGTGTCCTGAACTGACAGAACAAATCCGGAGAGAGATCGCTGCCTCTCTTCATCAGAGAAAGGGGGATTTTGCTTGCTATTTTCTGACTGACCTTGTAACATTTACGTTGCCAGCAGGTAACTCCAAAATCTAATGTAAAAAGAATTTTTCATTTTATTATAGTTATATTTGTGTATATGGGTTAAAAATGTTTTTGTTAGAAGGCACATAACATAGCTACTATATGTGCATTTTAAATTACTTGACTGTCTTGTTTATGCTGGAAGGGACCATATAGAAGGCTGTGTGTTAGTAAATTCTTTAGTTATCTGAGAGGAATACAGCAGTTGATAGTAATGGATTTCTTTGTGGACCTCAGATTATTTTTTGAAAATCTGTTTTACTCTTTTATTTTCTCTTTGGTTTTATTTTAGAATATCTTTTAAAAAATCTCCTTTGAAAAATTTTACCCTTTTCATGGTTGTATGTTATTTTGAAATTAGATATATTGATAACCTGGTATTAAGAAATGGGTTTAGAACATGAGCTTTTGATGGGTAGAGTTACGATATTTCAGTTGAACATACTCCATTCTTTTGAACGTGTCATCCCTTTTTTTACTCATTGTATTTATTTCTGCTGTGTTTGTGAAGCAACTTTTCATGTTTCAATTCGTTGACATTTGAAGATGGCTTTCAGAATGCTTTTTGTCAGTCGGCATTGATGTTTGGCATTTTGTCAGTTGGTGTTTGGTTAGCACCGAACACCAAAAGTTTCTAAAATCTTTCATCTGAGATCTGTTTTTTTTTTTTTAATTTTTAAAATTGAAATAGAGTCTTGCTCTGTTGCCGAGGCTGGAGTGCAGTGGCATGATGATAGCACACTGCATCCTCCAACTTCTTCTGGGCTCAAGTGATCCTCCTAGCTTGGCCTCCTGAGTAGCTAGGACTGTAGGTGTATGCCCCCAACGCCTGGCTAATTTAAAAATTTTTTGTAGAGATGTTACAGTGTTACTCAGCCTAGATCTGAGTGGTTTTAATTTTTATATTCTGACGTAAATGGGCGTTTACAAATTGTAGGAAATAGTAATTAAGTTTTCTGAAATTGGAGAAAATTTCATTTGAAATGCACTCATTCTCTATTTAAGCTTACTCCAGAATGATCAGATTTTTTTTTTTTTTTTTGAAATGGAGTCTTACTCTACTACCCAGGCTGCAGTGCAGTGGCAAGATTGTGGCTCATTGTAGCCTTGACCTCGCCAGGCTCAAGCAGTTCTCTCACCATAGCCTTCTGAGTAGCTGTAACCTCAGGTGTCTCCCACCTCATCTGATTCATTTTGTATATTTTTTGTAGAGACAGGGTTTTGCCGTGTTGCCCAGGCAGGTCTCAGAATCCTGAGTTCAAGCATTCTGCTGGCCTCAGCCTCCCAAAGTGCTGAAATTATAGGTGCGAGTCACTGCGCCTGGCCCAGAAAAGAAATATTTTACATAACTCACGTTCTACTTGTATATTAAGAAAAAGCTATCTGATAACCTTTGATGGAAAGGGAGTTATTTTAGAGGAAGTTACTAGTAAATGCTAATATCAAATATAAGTTATGAAACAAAAGATCTTTTAAGTCGACTTTTTATTTGTAGATATTGAAGATTTGCCTCCAACAGTCCAAGAAAAATTATTCGATGAGGTGCTTGATAGAGACGTTCAAAAAGGTAAGCATGGAATTAATGAGTACAATTTACCTTTTTCTGATCAAGTAAAAGGTAATTGTTTAGCAAGATATGGTATAGTTTGGTGTATGGTCAGCTTGGTTTGTTTGTTTGTTTGTTTATTGACTGACTGATTGATTTGAGACGGAGTCTCGCTCTGTTACTCAGGCTGGAGTACAGTGGTGCGATCTTGGCTCACCGAAACCTCCGCCTCCTGGGTTCTAGTAATTCTTCTGGCTCAACCTCCTGAGTAACTAAGACTTCAGGTGCATCCCGCTATGCCCGGCTAATTTTTTGTATTTTAGTAGAGATGGGATTTCACCATGTTGCCCAGGCTGGTCTTGAACTCCTGAGCTCAGGCGGTACACCCACCTCAGCCTCCCAAAGTGCTAAGATTACAGGCATGAGCCACTTCGCCCGGCTAGTTTAAAGATACAGAGTCCTGAATTTCAGTGTTACATTGTATTATTCACTGTCATAGAGTGCACAAATAAAGATGATAAAAATTTCAAAACCTGGGTTTCCGCCTCCTGTTCCAGAATGTGTATTTCTATATTAAACGCTTTTTAGAAAATCATACTATAAAGAATTTAAAAGTTGATTAAATTATTCTAGAGCAGAAGATGTTTCCAGTACTCAAAAGTTTGTATTTCAATTGTTCGGTTTTATTTAGGTGTTTATTGGTAAATTACATATAAACCATTTTATATCTAGAAAATAGGTTCTTCTCCCCGTGAATATTCTCTAATGACATAGGTATGGAAATGAACATGTATTTAAATTCATCGTACAGAATTGGAAGAAGAATCTCCAATTATTAATTGGTCCTTGGAATTGGCTACACGTTTGGACAGTCGACTATATGCACTTTGGAACCGGACTGCAGGAGACTGCCTACTTGATTCGGTACTACAAGCTACCTGGGGCATTTACGACAAGGACTCGGTGCTTCGGAAAGCCCTGCATGACAGCCTGCATGACTGTTCACATTGGTGAGCTGGCATTCTTCCCTGTTTCAAACCAGGAGTGCGTTTGCTGGATCGTTTCCTTGTAGTCGTGGAATACTTTTCACTTCAGTTATATCTTATATGGAAACTAGAGGAAAAACAGTTCATTTTGGACATTAAAATATGTTGAACATGTACGTGGTTTTTGTTTTTCCCTCAAGAAACACGATAAAAGCAAGAATCAATGGTTTTTGTACCTTTTTTTGCTAAACTTTAAAATAGAAACATTTGAAGCTTTAAAATGCAAGCATTTATTGTTTCTATAAAACAGAAGCAGTGTATTTGAAATTTCAAATGCAGCATTTCAAGTTATAGTAGCTGTAAGTATTGATAAGACCTTGTCCTCATCTTTTTAAGGATTGATTGATTGACTGATCCATCGATGGAGACAGGGTCTGGCCAGTTGCTGGGCTGGAGTGCAGTGGTGGAATCTTGGCTCACTGCATCCTTCAACTCCTGTGCTCAAGCCATCCTTCCACCTTAGCCCCCTGATTAGCTGGAACTACAAGTGCTCATCACCATGCCTGGCTATTTTTATCTATTTTTGGTAGAGATGGAGTTTTGCCATGTTGCCCAGGCTGGCTTTGATATCCTGATCTCAAGTGATCCGCCTGCCTGAGGCTCCCAAAGTGCTGGGATGACAGGCCTGAGCTGCCGCACCCAGCCTTACTTAATATTTGTGTTCAACTAAGAGATTATCTTGACATTGTGTTGTAAGTTTTTTTCCTTCCTGAGGGAGTCTTAAGATCACATTTTTTATTTTGTAAATTTTCAAACTCATACAATTTTAAAGAAATTCAGTGCAATGGATCCCAGTATTTTCTTCATTCAGTTGAGCAGTTGTTAACATTTTGCCACATCTGCTCTGTGTCACCATACAGAAAGACTCTTGGATTAGTCCATTGTAGATATGATGATGCTTTACCCTTCAAAATATCAACATGTATCTTTCCAGAACAAGAATATTCTCCTACTCACCCACATCCCCATTACTACATCTGAGTAATTCAACATTGATTCAGTTATCTAACGGTTCCTAATCACATTTCTTCAGTTGTCTCAAAGTGTTCTTTATATAGATACATTTTACCTGCATCCAGACACTGGAAAAATCACTGTTTTTGTGAATGGATAGTTCAGTCTTTACAGTTATTTGACTTCCGTGGCATTTTCTTGGTTCTTTGAACATTATCTCATTTAGTTATTTATTTATTTTTTTTTTTTGAGACGGAGTTTCGCTCTTGTTAACCCAGGCTGGAGTGCAGTGGCACGATCTCGGCTCACCGCAACCTCCGCCTCCTGGGTTCAGGCAATTCTCCTGCCTCAGCCTCCTGAGTAGCTGGGATTACAGGCACACGCCACCATGCCCAGCTGATTTTTTGTATTTTTAGTAGAGACGGGGTTTCACCATGTTGACCAGGCTGGTCTCGATCTCTTGACCTCGTGATCCACCCGCCTCGGCCTCCCAAAGTGCTGGGATTACAGGCTTGAGCCACCGCGCCCGGCCTCATTTAGTTATTTTATAAGGCTCAAAGAGGCTGAATTGCCTGTTGTTGAAGTTAGTAACTAGCAGAAGCCATTTAAAAAGTCGTAGTTTTCCCTATATTGGTGTCAAAATGTGTTTTTTCTCCTTTATCTAATTGAATGCTTACAAATAATGCTAAAAACCCTACTCTAGAGAACTTTATTACCCTAGTATCTTTATGTCTTTTTATTTTTATTTTTTGCTCTGTTGTCCAGGCTGGAGTGCAGTGGTGTGATGGCTCGCTGCAGCTTCTGCCTTCCCAGGTTCAAGCAATTCTCCTGCCTCAGTGTCCCAAGTAGATGGAATTACCGGTGCCTGCCACCATGTCCAGCTGATTTTTGTAGTTTTAGTATAGATGAGGTTTAGCCATGTTGGCCAAGCTGGTCTCAAACTCCTGACCTCAAGTGATCCACCACGCCTGGCCCTTTATGTCATTTTTGAGACTTAACAGCCTCCCAAAGTGGTGGGATTACAGGTGTGAGCCACTGTGCCTGGCCCTTTATGTCATTTTTGAGCACTTAACAGTTGTAAATTTTCTTTTCAGTATTTAGGGCTTACATAAACACCATTATAAAGTTCATGAGAACAGGGATTTTGTTTTGTTTTGTTTTGGAAGATCCAGTACTTAGAATAGCCTGACATACAGTAGGTATTCAGGAAGTACTTATATTACTGAATGAAAGTACTCTCTAGAATTTGGAAATGAGAACAGTGTAAGTTACTTTTTCTTCTTTTCTTTTTGTCTCCCTCCCCTTTCCCTCCTCCTCTCCTCCCTCCCCCCCCTCCTCCCCTCTCCTCCCCTCTCCGTTCCCCTTTCTTTGAGATGAAGTCTTGCTGTGTCGCCCAGACTGGAGTACAGCGGCATGATCTTGGCTCACTGTAACCTCCACCTCCCAGGCTCAAGTGATTCTCCTGCCTCAGCCTCCCAAGTAGCTGGGACTACAGGCGTGCACCACCCTGCCTGGCTAATTTTTTGTATTTTTAGTAGAGACGGGGTTTTACCATATTGGCCAGGCTGGTCTGAAACTCCTGATCTCAGCCAGTCTGCCCACCTCGGCCTCCCAAAGTGCTGGGATTATAGGCATGAGCCACTGAGCCTGGCCTATAAATTACTTTCTTGAGAGCAAAATTGTAGATTAAAGCATAACACAGTGTGGCTGGGTGTGTGGCTCATGCCTGCAGTCCCAGTGCTTTGGGAGGCTGAGGCAGGCAGATCATTTGAGGGCAGGAGTTCAAGACCAAGCTGGCCAACTTGGTGAAACCCTGTCTCTACTAAAAATATAAAAATTAGCCAGGCAGGTTGGCTTATGCCTGTAATCCCAGCTGTTAGGGAAGCTGAGATATGAGAATTGCTTAAATCCAGGAGGAGGAGGTTGCAGTGAGCCAAGATTGTGCCACAGCACTCCAGCCTGGGTGACAGAGTGAGACTCGAGGAGAAAAAAGCATAACGTAATAGAGTAACAATTTGTGGGCACATTAGAGAAATAAAATAGCTTTCTGGATGGTAACCTGATTGGATGTATAATAAAGCTGAAGAATGAATGTGTCACTCAGGTAGATGGTTCAGTCAATTAGTCATTGTCCAGGAGAGAGGGCTTTTGTGCCTGTTAGTGGAGATGGCTGTTGTAGATGTCTGGTAGCTTGAAGTGGGTTCATCGGGCTAGGTAAACCTGATGCTGGTCAGTGCTCTGTCTGGCCCCCTTGATCAGATCTTGTGGTCACCAAGCAGCTTCCTGCTGCTGATTTACTTGTCCACTGCTATGGGCCTGCCTGTGTTAAGAGGATGATCATGGTTTGGTTCCTAAGACAGTGGGTTCTTGGCATTGTTGTTTCACAGGTCTGCCTTGAAGTTTTGGTGATGACTCTGCCCTGTAAGATGGAAAGCCAGGTTTGAACTGTGGTAAAACTACCATTTTGCAGGTACCCTCTAAAAAGGAATCCTGTAATCTGTTCTTTGGCGGTAATTTTCTGGGATTTTTTTTTTTTTTTGGAGGCAGAGTCATACTCTGTCACCCAGGCCAGTGTACAGTGGCACGATCTTGGCTTACTGCAACCTCTGCCTCCCGGGTTCAAACAATTTTCATGCCTCAGCCTCCCGAGTAGCCGGGGTTACAGATGGTGTCACCATTCCCCTTTAATTTTTTTGTATTTTTAGTGGAAATGGGGTTTTGCCATGTTGCCCAGGCCGGTCTTTGAACTCCTGAGCTCAGGCAGTCCGTCCGCCCGCCTTGGCTTCCCAAAGTGCTAGGATTATAGGTGTGAGCCACTGCACCTGGCCTTTTCTTTGAAAATTTCCTGATCTGTTGAAAGGCTGAAAGTACATTGTGAATTTTAGAGGTGGTGTCGTTTTTTTTTTTAGTTGTGAGGGTTTTTGTTGTTGTTGTTTTTGTTTGTTTTTCGAGAAAGGGTCTTGCTCTGTCACTCAGGCTGGAGTGCTGGGGCATGATCTTGGCTTACTGCATCCTCCACCTCCTCGGCTCAGGTGATCCTCCCACCTCAGCCTCGTAGGAGTAGCTGGGACTACAGGAGTGTGCTACCACATGTAGCTAATTTTTAAATTTTTCTGTAGAGATGAGGTCTCACTATATTGCCCAGCCTGGTCTTGAACTTCTGGGCTCAAGCGTTCCTCCTGCCTTAGCCTCTGAAAGTGCTGAGATTACAGGCGTGAGCTACTGCACCTGGCCTTTTAAAAATTTTTTTAAAAAATTTGTGGTGAGTAGAATTGCTTTGGGGTTTATGCCCACTTGTTCCTTAGAGCTGGCTGTGGGCGATCATAAGAGTCTGAGTTGTCACTCATGTTTGTATCAGGACTGGAATTCCCAGATGGTTGTGAGTCACTTGAGGTCCCAAAAGTCTAGCACAGAGATAGGGAGATTGTGGGCGGATCTCTTGAGCCTAGGAGTTTAAGACCAGCTTGGGCAACATAGCAAAACCCTGTCTACCATAAAATACAAAATTTAGCCAGGCGTGGTAGTTGTGCCTGTAGTTCCAGCTACTTGGGAGGCAGAGGTGGAAGGATCGTTTGAGCCTGGAAGGTCAAGGCTGCAGTGAGCCAAGATCATGCCACTGCACTCCAGCCTAGGTGACCACAGGCTAACAAGAAAAAAAAAAAAGGAAAAAGGAAAAAGGTGGTGGGGGAGAAATAGTATGATGTAGTAAATAGGCTGGATAGGGAGTGGCTACTAGAGTAAGAAGGAACTAGGCTGTTTACAGGCTGTTAACAATAACCACTGGTAAGAGTTATTGCAGCAGAACTTTTAGTTCGTAGTCCTCACTCTCAAAAGATGCTTCAGGAGTGAGCACCTGGGGCTGGGATATGGACAGGTGTCTCAGAACGGTGTGGTGCTTGGCACCACCTCCACAGTTCCTGCCACTGTGGAGCTTTGCCTGATGGTTTATAGTTCAAGATAGTTTTGACTATTTTAAGTCCTTTGGATTTCCATATAAATTTTAGGATCCAGCTCATCAGTTTTTGTAAAAACAGCTGGGATTTGGATTGGGATTGCATCGAATCTGTGTATTAATTGGGGTGGTGGTGGTATTGCCAGCTTGACAATGTTGAGCCTTCCAATCCATGAACATGGAATTGAATTTTGAATGTGAAACCAAACTTGTATTCCTGTACCATTTGGTCATATATTGCTGGATTTGGTTTGCTTGTCTGTTTTATGGAGACCCTGGTAGTTTCAGAGTTTAGGTCTTAGAGTGATGAGGATGAAAATTTTAACATGTTTAATTTAAAGTATATTTTAGGCCGGGCATGGTGGTTCACGCTTGCAATCCCAGCACTTTTGGGAGGCTGAGGCAAGTGGATCATGAGGTCAGGAGTTCGAGACCAGCCTGTTCAATATGGTGAAAACCCGTTTCTACTAAAAAATACAAAAATTAGCCGGACTTGGTGGCACACGCCTGTAGTCCCAGCTGCTCAGGAGGCTGAGGCAAGAGAATCGCTTGAACCCGGGAGGTGGAGATTGCAGTGAGCCAAGATCATGCCACTGCATTCCAGCCTGGGTGACAGAGTGAAACTCCTCAGTCAATCAAGAAAGAAAGAAGGAAAGAAAGAAAAACTTTTATTGCACTGTCTTCTTCAGTGGTCTTTGAAGAGTTTTGAGTGCCATCACCATTGAATTTCTGGCTAACTTAGCTGTCTTATTTATAAAATGATTTTAGGCACTAACCAAGAAACTTCTGAACTGCATACCACTTTCACTATGTTTACAATTTATGTTTGATATTTCTCCTTGAACTTTTCAAAACAACGTATTTCATCACTGTTGTCGAAGTATTCAAACACATTTCTGTCTATCTTAGCTATTGTAAAAGAGGAATATACGTATTTTAATTTTAAAACATTTGGAATTATGATTAAACATCCTCAGTTACCTGGAGTATGAAAAATGTTTTAAAATCAACTGAGTTAAACCCCTGGAACATTATATTTTAATTTCTTACAAAATATATTTATTAGGCCGGGCACGGTGGCTCACGCCTGTAATCCCAGCACTTTGGGAGGCCGAGGCGGGTGGATCACGAGGTCAAGAGATCGAGACCATCCTGGTCAACATAGTGAAACCCCGTCTCTACTAAAAATACAAAACATTAGCTGGGCATGGTGGCGCGTGCCTGTAATCCCAGCTACTCAGGAGGCTGAGGCAGGAGAATTGCCTGAACCCAGGAGGCGGAGGTTGTGGTGAGCCGAGATCGCGCCATTGCACTCCAGCCTGGGTAACAAGAGTGAAACTTCGTCTCAAAAAAAAGAAAAGAAAATATATTTATTTTCTAAGGAGCCCTTCATTAAATTACTGTAAAGTTACATGTGACACCAACACATTTAACTTTTTTTTTTTTTTTTTTAAAGAGAGATGAGGTCTCACTATGTTGGCCAGGTTTTTGAATTCTGGGCCTCAGACAGTTCTCCTTCTTCAGCCTCCCAAAGTACTATAATTTTACAGGTGTGAGCTACCACACCTGTTCACGTTTAACTTTAATATGCTGGAACTTTTTAACAACACAACAGATTTCCTTGTCTTTTGTTTCTTTTACGTAGATTTCAGATGTATAGAAGAGAAATGTGATGTTATAAACAGATTAAAGATCTGTCTTCATTTTAGAGGTCTTAGTTGGCTTGTTTTTATAAGACAGTGAAACATAATTACTAGCATAATTATTTCTGAATTTAATTTTTACACATAATAGACAAAGAATCGATGTTGTTTTCAGTGATTCAGGTTAAGCATAAAGAAGGAATGTTTTCTGTCATTGCAGTGGGGTTTTTTTTGGTTGTTTTTGAATCGTTAGGTGATCATCAGAGAAAAATTATTGATCTTGATATTATGAAGACATGGAATATTTCCCATCTATTGTTTATACAAGTGATTGCAGGTGATATACTCTATATAGTGATAGAGAAATGTAGTGTCTTGTATCCAACATTTCAGATGAGTTTTTTTTTTTTTTTGGTGTAAACTAACTGTAAACAGTTGAAGATAACCGGTCTCATTGTTAGTATTTGAAGTTTGAAAATTTGGTTGTTGGTAAATTAAATTCTGGCAAAAGATGTCAAAGGATGTTATAAGGTATCTGCTAGTGGAAGAGGGAGGCATTTTTCATTTGAAAAATCTGTTATCACCCAGGCAAAATAAAATGATTAATTGCTTTGCAAACTGCTTAAAGACTACATTAAATAAAAATGCTCGGAACTTTAAATGTTTTGTATCTATATAAGAAGTTTTATATCTATATAAGTGTTTTATATTTCTATAAGAAGGCTTATTTTTTTACTATCTTGTTTTTTTAGGTTTTATACACGCTGGAAAGATTGGGAATCATGGTATTCTCAGAGCTTTGGTTTACATTTTTCCTTGAGAGAAGAACAGTGGCAAGAAGACTGGGCATTTATACTCTCTCTTGCTAGTCAGGTGAGGATGCTTCAAGTTTTGTTGCTTCTGTGAGAAGAGTAAACCATGTATTCTAAATTGATGTATTTGAGCAAACCATGTTGGAGGCAATGTGGGTACAAAGAAAAGAATGCCTGACTCTCTATCAGTCAGCTTGGGTTCTAGTTATGTATCAAATAAATACCATAGCAAGTACAATTGACCATAGCAAGTCCTCACTGCATAACAGGGATAATAATGTGCGTTTTTATGTCGAATGATGAAAAACCATCTAAAGGTCACACACAGTAGATAGTCTTGGGATTGCTTTCCATTCATGTGGGAATGAATTTTTCCAGGTTTGCTAACACCTTTTTATTAATGAAGGCTTCTTGTAACATGGAACCATATAGGCTTGTCCCTTAGACTCTTGGTTTCATGCTTGGTTTTGTGAAGCACTTCAGTATACCAAACTGTAAAGTACAAATGTATATTTATTTTTTTAATTTTTTTATTTTATTTTATTTTTATTTTTTAATTTTTAAAAATTTTTTATTTATTATTATTTTTTTTTGAGACAGAGTTTCGTTCTTGTTACCCAGGCTGGAGTGCAATGGCGCCATCTCGGCTCACCGCAACCTCCGCCTCCTGGGTTCAGGCAATTCTCCTGCCTCAGCCTCCTGAGTAGCTGGGATTACAGGCACGCACAACCATGCCCAGCTAATTTTTTGTATTTTTAGTAGAGACGGGGTTTCACCTTGTTGACCAGGATGGTCTCGATCTCTCGACATCGTGATCCACCCGCCTCGGCCTCCCAAAGTGCTGGGATTAGATAGAGGCTTGAGCCACTGCGCCCGGCTATTTTATTTTTTTTGAGACGGAGTTTCGCTCTTGTTGCCCAGGCTGGAGTGCAATGGCGCGATCTCGGCTCACCGCAACCTCCGCCTCCTGGGTTCAGGCAATTCTCCTGCCTCAGCCTCCTGAGTAGCTGGGATTACAGGCACGTGCCACCATGCCCAGCTAATTTTTTTGTATTTTTAGTAGAGACGGGGTTTCACCATGTTGACCAGGATGGTCTCGATCTCTTGACCTCGTGATCCACCCGCTTCGGCCTCCCAAAGTGCTGGGATTACAGGCTTGAGCCACCGTGCCCGGCCTACAAATGTATATTTATAACTATTCATTTTCTTTCCACAAAGCACTATGATTCATTTGAACTTAGAGAAGGAGGTACCTGGTCTTTGGGCCATTTGGGCAGGATTCACAGTGGTTGATTTATATGAGATATGTACCTCACACCATGGATTGTAGCTTGAGGATGGACCCATTTAATATTTGGTATTTACGTTTGCATGAAACAAGCTCGCTTTTTCGTTTCAGGAGGACTTTGTTGTAGGTAGTGCTTTCACAGTAACTTAACCAGAAGGTGATTATAAAGCATCCTTAGCTATCTGAATCTCTGGTTCCTGAGATTGGATGGTAGTGAGGCTGGGTGGAGAGGGTTATTTCAGAATATGTATGCATGTGTATATAATTTGTGAGTTTGGATGGCGAATGATATTCATATGTGGCCTTTGTAGATTTCCTTTACAGTTTTATTGGATTTATTATTTGAGGAATCAAATGCTGCTTTGACAATTTTTTTTTCTTAAACTGTGATAGTGTACTGAAGGGGAGGTAGTACTGTTTTTTACACATCAGTTTTCCAGGAGTGGTAATAAATGTTTTAAATTTTTGTTTTGTTTTGTATAGCCTGGAGCAAGCTTGGAGCAGACACACATTTTTGTACTGGCACATATTCTTAGACGACCAATTATAGTTTATGGAGTAAAATATTATAAGAGTTTCCGGGGAGAAACTTTAGGATATACTCGGTTTCAAGGTAAGCCATTATTCAGGAGCATTTTACAAATCTCTTCTAATGAGCCACATGTTTAAGTATTAACTGGTGAGCAGGATCAGAGTGGCTCAGATGCTAGGAAGGAGCAGTAGACAGGAATGTGAACAAGGGCAGTGAGGGAGGGAGCAGCTCTTTCTTCCTGTGACTGTTGGGATTTTCTTCCCTCTTTTTCCAGGTGTTTATCTGCCTTTGTTGTGGGAACAGAGTTTTTGCTGGAAAAGTCCGATTGCTCTGGGGTATACGAGGGGCCACTTTTCTGCTTTGGTTGCCATGGAAAATGACGGTTATGGCAACCGAGGTGCTGGTGCTAATCTGAATACTGATGATGATGTCACCATCACATTTTTGCCTCTGGTTGACAGTGAAAGGAAGCTACTCCATGTGCACTTTCTTTCTGCTCAGGAGGTAAGCAGCATGTTTCTAGTACCTTGTACCAGAAACAGCCTGAAGTGGCTTTCAGGTGTGGTTTTATCTGCACTACCACTTAATTTCTGAATGTGATGGTAGTAATTTCTTAAGATATCAGCTGTACTTTTGACCTTTTCAAAACTGCTGTATGGGGAGACATCAAGGAACTTAAGGAACTTCCCTCAGGTGGTGATGGGTGTTAAGAAAAAGTAAAGATGAGGGAATGAGAAGTGACTTTTTGTCTGAGAGCAGAGTTCTAAGAATTGCAAGCCCAGTTTAAAAGGGTCAGGCAACAGAGAGAGAGTAGGGGCTAGGGGAGGGAGAAGAGGTCAGAGATGATAAGGGTGGGGTGGAGTTCATTGAAGGCCTTTTTTTTTTTTTTTTTTTGAGACGGAGTTTTGCTCTTGTTACCCAGGCTGGAGTGCAATGGCACGATCTCGGCTCACCGCAACCTCCGCCTCCTGGGTTCAAGCAATTCTCCTGCCTCAGCGTCCTGAGTAGCTGGGATTACAGGCACGTGCCACCATGCCCAGCTAATGTTTTGTATTTTTAGTAGAGATGGGGTTTCACCATGTTGACCAGGATGGTCTCGATCTCCTGACCTCGTGATCCACCCACCTCGGCCTCCCAAAGTGCTGGGATTACAGGCTTGAGCCACCGCGCCCGGCCATTGAAGGCCTTTTAAGGCTTTGGGTTTTACTCCGGATAATGTGGCAAGCCAGTGGCCAGCTTACCCAGAAGAGGAACATTTGGGGCTCTCGTGCAGTGGCAGGAGCAGGAATACCAGGTAAAGGTATTGTACATGCAGGGGAGTGAAAGGGTGTTAGACCAGATGGGAGCTGGTGAGGGAGCTGGTGAGAATGTACAAAACAACGCTCTTTCAGAAAGCCAGCATTCTTATAAAAGTATTGGTCTTTTATTTAATATACTAGTAATTATTATAAAACGTTTATAATCACAACATGAAGAAAAAAAAGTTCATAGACCATAACTTGTATAATTTCACCCTGTACATAATTGACTGAGTGAACTTACCTTGTCATATGTTTGAAGCTGTGGCTTGCCAGGATCAGTTTACTAGGACATTTGCTTTTTGTTATTTTATCCAATAAATTACCCTCTAGTGTGCTCTTTAGTGTTTTCTGAAAATTTTCCCATTGATGTCTTTTTAAGTGTAACCAGAGCAAACTAGACTTTAATCATAAAATTTCTAAGAGGTTGAAACCGTGTGAAAAGTTGATTACTTTGGCCTTTTCATTAGTTAGCATATCATGTAACATTCCTACCAAGTCTTTGATCTGTTGTATGATTTTCCTTTTGTCTTCATATTCCTCCAAAAGCTAGGTAACGAGGAACAGCAAGAAAAACTGCTCAGGGAGTGGCTGGACTGCTGTGTGACAGAGGGGGGAGTTCTGGTTGCCATGCAAAAGAGCTCTCGGCGGCGAAATCACCCCCTGGTTACTCAAATGGTAGAAAAATGGCTTGACCGATACCGACAGATCCGGCCCTGTACATCCCTGTCTGATGGAGAGGAAGATGAGGATGACGAAGATGAATGAGAAGAAAAAAAAAGCAGCTGATCAAGGCATCGGATCTGTAATGACCCTAAACTTAGTGTGGTGCTCCAAGCAGAGTCTACATCATGGACTGAACCAGATCGGGCAGAATCTGCTCGGAAGTGTTTTCCTGGACCACACGCACCGAATGGAGAGAACGCCTCTGCTGCTTGAAGGGACAGAGAACTTTGGTTGGACTAGTTTGTAAAAAAAAAAAAAAAAACTAATTTTATTATTAAGACAGAACTTTTTGTCCTTTCAAATTGTAAATCTGTCTATAAATGTAACGCATGTGGTTGTGAAAGAAATTGTGTAATAGGAAAAGTCGTACCAGCATCTTCATATTGAGAAATTTTTTTCCAGCATGGGCACTTAGAAAAAGCACATGGCAGATGACTCTTTGTTCCTCTGAGATATTATTTCAATAGAACCTGGCATTCTACTTTCACCTTAAAAGATCCATCTAATGTTAAGTCTCAGAGATCTGGAAATGTTTTGTATAAATTATCCACAGCAAAACATAAAAATAAGCTTTTAATAATTTAGTTCCTCTTGTGCCCAATAAAATCAAATCTTTTAGGAACAAACCGCAAGAAAAGATAAGAATGTTTTAGAGTGAACTAAATAGACATCGTTTATTTGTTTTGAAGAGGGTTTTGGTTTTGGTTATTGTGTCTTTAAGTTTTCTGATATGCCCCCTTTCAATATGTAGATATTTATTTGTTTGGAAGAATACCTTAAAATGAGGGTTCTAATTCCAGAGTAGCATTTTCCTGGATGAAAAGGGAGTAGCAAGCCCACTTGTGACTAAATGAATTGTGTGAAATTTGCTCACTTGGACTCCAGCAGCAGTGTGCTAACTCCCAAATTGCCAGGCCAAAGGGTCTTTGGATTCTTCCTTTTATCACCTCTGCTCTAAGCAAATTTTGTTAGAAGGGCATGCCTTAGCTTAGGCAGATTGGGAATACCAATTCACTACAGAATTTTAAAATTGCAATAAGGTGGTAAATGCATTGTATGAAGAATTTCTCAGTGTATAGTCTGAGAACTTTTGCATGTTGAATTGTGGCCATTCTTATTTAAAATTAAAACTATAATCTTAGGTAGAAAAATTTTTATAAGGAGTATTATTTGACCACTTCAGGTATACATTCAATACTGGGTAAAAATTTCAGACCTATCTCAGGAACACAGAAATACTTGGTGTCCTGATAAGCACTTTCCAGACGATTGATGTGGCCAGGAATTTGGAAAGAAGACATACTCACATGTATTTTTTTTCTTCCCTGTGATGAAAAGGCTGTGAAAACCTTAAAGTATTTGCTCGCTTCTTGTTTTGTTTAGTTGATAATGAAATGTGTACAACCTCAAATTTGCTGCCAGAATGATACTAAAAATAGAAAAATGCCCACGAAACTATCATGTCTTTAGTTCTTCTCCCCTCTGAAAACTCAGTAAAGAGGTGTTCCCAGGATGAAAAGATCATTTTTGCTGCATGCTAAATCTTGCAAGAAAAAATTATTTTTGTAGTATGATTCCCTATAAATGAATTTTTGATATAATGTAAATGTTACCGTTTCAAGTGGTTAATGTTTTCTTAAAAATTGACTATATGGTTTCTTTTGCTTTCATTTTGGTCAATAATTAGTTAATCGAGGTTTTAGAAAATGTTAGCACTCCAATTACATAGCATCTGTAGTAACTTTATGTATAGGGATAATTGTTTAGTGGGCAGAGATCCTGTTCTAGTTGCCTGTTAAGCAAAATCTGCCCTCCCAATTGAAGAAGCCAAAGAGAATTGTTAAGAGGGAAAAGCATGTAGCCACTGCAGTCTGCACTGCAGCCAGCATTGTCCAGAGAGCACACGCTCAGTATGTAGCTTCTACCGTGTGTTGTGGTGAGTGGTGTTTCCCCTGAGCGCTCTATTTATTTATTTATTTATTATCTATAACCCTGACCTCATAGTGTGATAGGTGCATCTTTCTTCCCTGTGGGAAAGAATTATAGATGGTTCCATTTCCTAGGCTACCGACAGGAATGGGACTTTAAATGGTTTTCATAGATTGGCTATTAAAGGCCAAAATTTTTGGTAAATCAATGCTATATTATGCTCTTAAACTATTAAAGAGCCATAATTATTGTCCCAAGATAGAATATAGTCCTTTTCAAAGATTATACGTGGCTAGGTGACAGACATAAACGTCTTGATTGAGTGGATAGTAATACCTTAACTCTATGAACTTTGTGGTTTTTCCAGAGCATACACAGCGTGGCATTTTGTTTTGACCTGTTTTTCTTTGGAGTCAAATTTATAAATATATATATATTTTGTTTGTTTGGGCAACCAAGATCTAATTAAACAAAACCCAGGTTGACCGTGGATTCAGACCTGCCTTTTTGTTTTTGATTCTTAGGTTCATCGTGTCCCAGACTTCTTCACATATGTGAAGGTAAGATATTCTGCATGCTTGGGCCCTCCTTTTCATGCAATTTCATTGCCTCTTGATGAGTCGTTACGAAGACATTAAACTACCTTTTTGTTCCCTGGGGCGACAGGTCAGTAACTGAGTGCCATCTCTCTCCATGTGAGGTTGTTTTAATGTACGTTTTTATGGTAGAGTTGGGATGGGGCCACCACATAAAAATGAGTGAGGAGAGAAAGCCAGGCATGCTGAAGGCTTTAAGACACCATGGACTTTTTTTGGGGGGGTGGGGTGGGGGGGTTGGTGGGTGGGGGGGTTGGTGGTGTTTTAATGGGAAGGGAAGTATAGGAAGAGCTCAGAAGGAGTTTGATACCTGGAATTGCTGGACTTGACACTTGCATACACTATTAATTATAAAGGTTTAATGCTATTTAAAAAGCAGATCCACTAAATCAACTTCAAGTTCTTAACGATTTTGCAGCACTTCTTTGTAAATATCGTTTTGTTAGGTTATTGGCAAAACAGTATCAAGGTTCACTTCCCTCCCTTGAAGTAGGTCCAGGTCATTTTGCTTTGGGGTAAATTAAAATCAAAACTCTAAAAGTTGAGCAACTTTGTTTTTTGAATTGACTTAGCTCTAACGCACCAAGATGGCATGACTTGATAATGATGGACTTCCGTGAGGTTTTGTTTTTTCAGTTAAACTTTGTATGACATGAGGTAATTGTCAGCGTTCTTGAGTCTGGTTATGGAATAGGCAGATAGAACCCTGGAGTAACAAGAGTTGGAAACTGGCTAATTGACAATGCAGTTACCTTAAACATCTCAAGTAGAGAACTTTTACATTAGTGAGATGTACTTGAATTTCAGAACTTAACAGAAATTTTAATTACTTTTTATTGAAAACTGCACTGAACGCTAAATGTCCACCTTTACAATAAACAAATACAGTAACGGTAACTCACACTAAAACAAAACATACTTCTGATAGCCATTATTTTTCTGTTTGGGACAATTTTAAATTTTTTTTTTTTTTTTTTTTTTGTCACAAAAACAGGAATGTACCTATACAAAGGCTCAAAATAGGCCATCTTTTTAAACAAAAAGGCAATGATTCACAAAAGACTATGAATAGAACATGTAACTAGTTGATACAAATCTAATAGGATTTGTTAAAATCAGTCACATCTAATACATCTGAAGTGTTCTTGTATAAAATATCACGTGAAGAAAAAAAGACTTTATCAATGTCTAAAAAAGTGGGTTTGTTCATAGACAATCTGACAAGTTACCATAAAAAGTGTTTCCTGAGACATAAGGAAATGCAACATTATTCTTCTTGAACCCTTTTAGTTCAAGACTTTCCACTCAATAAAATAGCAGAGGATCTGAAACTGAGAAAATATATTTGAGTACAAACAGCTTGTGAAACTTAATACTTTTTTTTTTTTTTTTTTTTTTTTTTTTTTTTTTGCATCATCAGAGGGTTTTACTTAACTTACAACCAACTTGCCCGCTCAGTATACAGTTCAGCTGTGAGAGACGCTTCTCTGTACAGGATCCTGTACTGTCTTCAATCCTATGCGTGCAGGTGTCTACCACAGGCAAACAGTTTTCTCCCCATTTGGTAGTAATGTGATCTTCCTATTAGCAAAAAGAGGTAACCAGCCCCTGTAGACTGAAGGGACTCAAGTCACAGGATGGGGATTTCCTCTTAATATTTTTTATTTGGATGTTTGAACTCTTGATGCAACATTCTCGAGCAGGGTGTTCAGGACCTGCTGTGCCCAAGGGACTGATAAAGGAAAAAGCTCTATTTATTCTTTGTGATTTGATGCACAGATGAAAAACTTAACACACAATAACAGAAGTTGGTCGTTAATAAATCACATCCTAGTCTTTCAGCGCTTCCGTAAGCAGACGACATCTTCAGTTTTCTAGCTCTTGTAGTTTTAACACTGCAACATCAATGATGCATATGTCCAGAATCAGTTACAAAGACCGTCAGATTCTTTTTCTCTCAGTTCATCTATTTTTCACTGTCTCTTGGTCCCGGTGTATCTGAATGATTACCTTCCGGCATTTTCTGCTATTGCTCGTTGGGGTGCTCTCGATTGTCCCCGTGTTTTGTGGGCTGGTTGGGAGAGGGCGCTTGGGAAGGATGTGCCACTGTCGGGAGGTTGTGAGTCACTGGGATGCCCCCAGGGATGATCCCTTCCATGGCTGCAGGAAGTCCGCCTGGAGCCACGCCCACGATGCCTGGCGGATATCTAAGGCACACACACAAACAGGGTCTTGTAAGTTCAGGGCAGAGTTGCCAAGCTCTTGGCCCTTTCCCTACTTCTGGCCTTTTTTCAATTAAAAGTTTTTTTTTTCTTGAGACATGAGCCCATTGACATGAACACGGCTCACTGCTGCCTTGAACGCGATTCCACCTCAGACACCCAAGTAGCTGTGATCAGAGGCATGAACCATCACGCCTGGCTAGTTTTTGTATTTTTTTTTTTTTTTTTTTTTTTTTTGGTAGAGCTGAGATTTTTCCAGCTGGCCTCAAACTCCTGAGCTCAAGTGATCCCCCCACCTCAGCCCCTCCCAGAGTCCTGGGATATCCTCCCTATCCCCAAAAGGATAGAAGAAATCTCAATTTTTATATAGAACACTGGCAGCTAATTCATAAAAACAAAACTAGTCCAATTCAAACATGGGGCCACTAAATTTCGTAGCTTTTAGATAACAGGAAGATATTAGCCCATACTAAGTAAGAATGTGGATACTGTACGGTTTGAAAAACACATTTTGTACAAAATGGAAGTGTTACTTCTCACTGATAAAATGATTTCCCAGCAGAGCACAATACACTCTGAGGGACTGAATGTCTGTCTCTCCTGTAGAGCCCTTGAGAAGTGTCATGAATGGGATTAGTGCCCTCATTGAAGGGAGCCCGGTGTGGATCACCTGATGGCAGGAGATGAAGACCTGCCTGGCCAACATGGAGAAACCCTGTCTGTGTTAAAAATACAGAAATTAGGCAGGTATGGTGGTGGCGTGTGCCTGTGATCCCAGCTACTCGGGAGGCTGAGGCAGGAGAACTGCTTGAACCCTGGAGGTGGAGGGTGCAGTGAGCTGAGATTACACCATTGTATTCCAGCTAGGCGACAGAGTGAGACTCTCAAAAAGAAGAAAAAGGGAACCAAGGTAGTATTCTGGCCCCCTCTCTGCCATATGGTATGACGACACAGGAAGAAGCTGGCAGTCTGCTGCCTGGCCTTCTGAACCTGACCGTGCCGTCAGCCCGATCTGACTTCCAGCCTCTGGAACTGTAAGCGAGACCTTTCTGTGGTTTACAAGCCACCCAGGCTATGCTACTCAGATGAGGCAGCCAGCACTTGCTCAGCTTTTCAGGCTGGTTGGTTAGGCACTCACTCCTGTGGCCCGGCTTCCTCTGAATGCCCAGGGTCGGGCAGGTTTTGTATGGTAAGTGTGAGACACTGTGGGAGGACACACCGCATTCACCACCCTCAGAACATGAGGGGCCCTGGGCAAAGGGAGGCTCAGCATATTCACACAGACTTAGTTCCCAAACCCTTCATCATCAAGGTGAAGGCGGCGGCATCTCACTGAGGAAGCCACCCCACCCCCGGCTCCTGGACTGCCATCCTGTCACCACCAGTCAGAAATCCCCAAGACCTTCAGAAGGACTCTGGTCAGTAGGGTCCCTTCCAGCTTCCTCAGTGCACACAGACTGTTCTAGGGCGCCTACGAGCCTCGGCTTATCTGAAGGAATAAATACAACGGAGACATGAAAAGGCAGGGCCCCAACTCCACCCAACCGGGGAGTCTGGTGCTGTGATGGTCTCAGTAATATTTGAAAATACTTCTAAGGGCCAAAAGGATGGGACTTGCTAAAATGTGAAGACAGCCACGTGACCTGCACACGCCAGCATCGCTGCTTCAGTGTCGGAGCCTTCACTGCACAAACTAAATGCATCCTGGTAGTCGCTGTGGCTACAGCAGGGGACATGTGGCAATGTCTGGAGGCATTTTCAATTATCCTGAGGGGGAGTGGGAGGTGATACTGTCCTCTCGTGGGTAGAGGCCAGGGATGCTGCCAACTGTCCTACAATGCACAAGCTAGGCTGCGCCGCCTATATGAGAATGAAGAGAATGATCTGGCCCCAAGTGTTGTCTATTGCCAAGAGCTGGAATCCCTGGTTTGAATATACAAACGTTTTTCTTAAGATTCAAAGCTGCAGCTTCTTTCATTTACGTATGAGGGGACTATTGATTTCCTGGGAACCCAGCAATAATAATGAGGGATAGGAGAAAACCAATTCGTGCCTGGAAAATATCAGAAACCATCTCTCCCTGTAAGGGCTCTTGTCTTTAACCCACTCTGCACTCCCTAACACTGCTCCAGTTTCTCTGTTGACCCAAACTACAGGTAGCATTCTTAGTATGTGGACAAGGTCATTATCCTGAGTTGACTGCACCTTCATTGGCCAGAAGGCCTCCCACGGATATAAGATTCAAGTTAGAAAATGAACTTGTTCACAGGATTGAGCATATTATCTATATATATACCTTTCTCCTTGAGAAGCCTTTTTTTAGGGGTGGGGTGGGCATGGGGGACAGAGTCTTATGTGGCCCAGGCTGGAGTGCAGTGGGTGATAATCGGTTCGCTGCAACCTCTGCCTCCCGGGTTCAAGCAACTCTCCCACCTCAGCCTCCCTAGTACTGGGATTACAGGCATGTGCCACCATACCCAGCTAATTTTTGTGTTTTTAGCAAAGACGGGGTTTCACCATTTGGCCTGGCCAATCTCAAACTCTTAACCTCAGGTGATCCACCTGCCTCAGCTTCCCAAAGTGCTGGGATTATAGGCATGAGCCACTGCTCCTGGCTGAGAAGCCTTTTGGTTTTAAGATAGCTTTAGAATGAAAAGCAATTCCTAGCACCC